TTTTTGCTTCCCTAAGGCTCCTCTGGGGCTCAGGAAGAAAAGGAACAGAGCATGGGAGGGGCATGCAGCACCCCTCCAAGCTCCATTTTGGGAGCTTCCTAGCCTCAGAAAAGCCTCTGGGGGGGCATTTTTGCTCCCCAAGGCTCCTCTGGGGCTCTGGAAGGCAAAAAATAGAGGGGGGGCTGAGCTCCTCCCTCCATTTTTTGCCTTCCTGGGCCTCAGCAAGGGGAATCCCGGCACAGCTGATCTTATCTACAGCTGATTATTGGGAGGGGAAAAAAGAAAGAAATACCTTAGGCAAATGTCAGGCAGGCGGGTGGGGTGAGCAAGCATCGGGCGGGAGGGCGACCGGGTGGGGGGGCGTGGCCAGCCAGAACTTACTAACAGTTCAGTGACCCACGCAAATTCTTGCTACTGGTTCGCCTGATGCGGTGTGAACCGGCTGAATACCACCATTGAAATATACATTGAAGTCCATATGTATGGTAAAGTAAGATAGGCCATAGCTAATGGCTGAAAGCAGTATTATGCAAAAACAATTGAAGCTACATTCTTCCTACACCACCTTATCAAGTACACAAAGCCTGTTGAGGGCAGCAGTTCCTTAGTTTTCTAGTTATTATTGCGCAACATTTATATTTATCTTTACCATGTGATTTGCAATATGGATTCTGCTTTACAGACCATAACCCATTTTAATTACTAATGTTGATGCAAAGATGTGAAACAAACATCTTATGCTGCTATATACCATATTGTAGGGGAAGGCAGAAAGAACATAGTAAAAACTAGTCCTACATTTACCAAACTTCGGTTGCAATAGATAAAATTTGATCCAGATATCTCCTTGAAGTGGTGGACAACTCAATTGCCTCCAAAAGATTTTTGACGTGGAAGTTAAATATGAATTAACTTCATCTTAATGCTATGATATCCACAATGATTTATGTCATTTTGAACATGATGAAAGCGTTGTCATTTGTCAAACAGGTGTAAAACATTCATATTGTTCCACATTGGAAAACATATTACAACATATAGACACATGTGTCTATATGTTGTATGTTTTCCAATGTGGAACAATATGAATATTTGTTCAAATTAGTATTTTGGTAGTATTCTTACCTGGAACTCTTTTGGCCCAGTTGATCATATGGACCAGTTCTCGATCAGCAAGGTTGGTCAACAACATCATCATTGAAGCTTCATTGAAGGGTCTGTTAGGATCATATTCTGAATAGACAATAGGAGGTTCTGCCTCTAGCAAAGCAGAAACCATCTGATCTGCGGAGAGGGAGAGGGCTGGGCTGTTTTTTTTACTATGTGTGATCATTAGCGGACTTGGCCAGAGATTTGGGCCCCTTGTCTCTGCTACTGTGCCTATGTTTCTGCTATCATGTTCTTCTCTTTGACGTTTGTTCTTCAGTATTCGGCCACCTCTGCGATCTTTTCGAATTCCTGGAAGAAGATATAAATGAAAATAATACATATTATCCACTGACTTCTCTAATGTGACAGTATTGAAACGTAAGTTTGGAAACTATGCAATCTTTATTTAAGCAGTCCTCAGAAATAAGACAGCCTGAAATTAACAACAGTCCGTTCATAGCATCAAATCTTACAAAACTATCAGCATCTGGATTAGGAGTCCCCAAACTTGGCAACTTTAAGACTTGTGGACTTCAACTCCCAGAATTCTCCAGCTATAGCTGGCTGGAGAATTCGGGGAGTTGAACTCCACAAGTCTCATAGTTGTCGAGTTTGGAGACCTCTGATCTTGATTATAGAATGCAACAAGCAGCAATCAGAAATCAAATATAGGCATTAAAAACCTAACAAAAGGAGAGAAAATAGAAGGAAAGGAAATTCCAGAAAGGAGTAATGAAAAAGGAGGGGGATAGAAATTGGAGTGATAAAAAGAGGGTAAGAATGAAACAGGACCAGGAAAGAAAGAAATATGGCAAGCACATAAAAATGAAATGGAATTGTTTAATTAAAAGACACAGAGATGATGGTTGATTGAAATTTAAAAGATGGGGACTCTACAAGTATATAAGGCAGTGGTGGCTAACCTTTTTGGGCTCCTGTGCCAAAAATTGTGCACGCGCTTGCACGCTCGTGCTCCTGTGGTAGCACCCAGAAGGCAATGTGCACCCTCCCACGCCCCTACACGTGCAATCCACCCACCCGCCATTGCCCCCTTACCTGCACTGTGCCTCACAGCTAATTTTCGGCTGGTTTGAGGCCTTTTTCGGTCTCCCAAAAGCTTGAGGAAGGCTTCTGCAGGCTTCTGCAAGCTTTTTAGGCCAAAAACTAGCCCCGTTTCATCACTTCCTCTTTTTCCGAAAATACCGGAAATGACAATACGGGGCTAGTTTTTGGCCTACAAAGCTTGCAGAAGCCTTCCTCAAGCCTTTGGAAGGCCAAAAAAGGCCTCAAACCAGCCGAAAATCAGCTGTGAGTTGTGCACCTGTGCAGTGAGGTAAGTTTGCCTGCAGCTCACGTGCCAGCACAAATGGCTCTGCGTGCCACCTCTGGCACACGTGCCATAGGTTCACCATCACGGGTATAAGGATTAGTTTAAATAAATAAGAAATAATAAGTTTGTTCAGAAAATAGTCGAATATATATTATTAAGATGGGAGATAGGGACTGATATTGTTCTCTTATTGTAGTGTTTGTTTGTTTTTTCTTTTCTTTATTGTATGAAATTAAGAGAGGTAATCAGAATAAAGATATTAACAATACTAAATGAATTAATAAGCTATGGCAAACAAAGCAGGAACAATGTTATAAGGGAAAACAATATTAGTTCTGATGAAATGAAGGGATTAATTATGTTGTTTTGTGTATAATTTTCTTAACTTGGATATATTTTTTATGTAATAAGAAGGGGAACTTGGAGACCCAGGCTTAAAAGAAACACATGTAATGTAGTAATTAACAAAAAGTTATTATTGTGGGTTTTTTTTCTTCTTTTTTTAAAGTGTTAACTCAGACTCAAACTCTGGGAATCTTAGGGGGGAATTAATTATGTGATATGTTAATCACAGGGATGGCAGTTTGAAATTGGCAATAATAGAGGTGTTGCTTTGTTGTTGCTGTTTTTTTCTATGTTGGAAATGTGTGAATTTTTGGAATGCTGAATTAAGTATAGATTAGTACATTGCAGACCTGACAGAAAAGAATATAAAATACAATGAATATGAAGATATATAATGATGCACTAAGGATTCTAAGAAATCGATTAAGCAATGTTTTGGAAAATTCATGAAATAAGATGGAAAAAGCTCGATGATTAAAATTAAAGAAAATATATAAGTAAGATTAAGACAAGTTATCAAATGTGAAAGATGAGTAGGAAATGAAAGTCAAGTTTGTAATGGAAATGTGTTAACCTGGAATTATGCTGTTCATTTAAAAAACATTTTTTTTCTTCTGTAATATGTGAAAATTGAATAAAACTTTTTCAAAAAGAAAAAAGAAAGAAATCAAATATAGGCTCCTAACCAGAGGTGGTATTCAGCAGGTTCTGACCAGTTCTGGAGAACCGATAGTGAAAATTCTGAATAGTTCAGAGAATCAGCAAATACCACCTCTGACTTCCCCTGCCCCCATCTATTCTTTGCCTCCCGAGTGCCAGCTGATTGGCTGAGTCTTCTTTTGTTGCCCTGCGCAGGAGAACGGAGCTGGAAAGCAGGTTAGTGGGGTGGGGAGGGAATGGGGATTTTACAGTATCCTTCCCCTGCCCACCCATCAAGCCATGCCCACAGAACCAGTAGTAGAAAATTTTGAATCCCACCACTGGTACGAACCTAGTTGAGCAAAAAGCATTTTATAGGAGAATTACATTACATTAATTGCAACATTGTAAAGCACTGTGAAGAGCCTAATGCTTTACAACAGTGGTCCCCAACCACCGGGCCCCGGACCGGTACCGGTCCGTGGATCATTTTGTACTGGGCCACCTATTTTGCTTGGGCACCGCCATCTTGTTTCAACAGCGCCTGAGAAAGTGCTTCCGGGTGAGCTTGTTGGTCGTCAGTTGGAAAGCGGCGTTTGGGTGCTGAAGGAATCCTCGCGTCTTAGTTTCGACGAAGGGGGGGGAGCGGCTTCGAATGAAGAGCCGTCCCAATGGCGGTGGAGTCTTGCATTACTCAGGAGGAGATTAAGAAAGAGCCTGAAAAACCCATTGACCGCAAGAAGGTACAAAGGAGGAGTTGAAGGTGGCGGGGAGAAGCGGGGGACGGCTGGCTGGCCGTTCACTCGGCTTGCCTTGCCTTGGTCATGTGTGCTGATGCCGGTACCGATCTGTGGATCGGTCCGTGGATTGTACCGGTCCGTGGTACAAAAAAGGTTGGGGACCACTGCTTTACAGGAATAAAATGCCTTGGGCCAGTTCTGAAATAAATTATTTCATACCAGTTATTTGTTCATTCAACACCTCATAATGTAGAGTCTACCCTAATTTTACAAATGATTTCTGGGATACCTGATCAAATTATCTTCTCCTGTACAAAACATTAAAATAGTCATGGACAGCTAAGAATCAATATTCAAATATACTTTCTAATTCTTTTCAACTTTATAACATTTGGTTTTTTTAGATAAGTCTTCTCTCAAATTATTCCTTGACAAGGAATAATGAGGAACTAGAGAACAACCTATAGGCCCATGATGGTGAACCTATGGCACGTGTGCCACAGGTGGCATGCAGAGCCATTTGTGCCAACATGCGAGCCATAGGCAAACTTACCTCACTATGCATGCGCACATCTCCTGGCTGATTTTCGGCCTGTTTGAGACTTTTTTCGGCCTCCCAGAGGCTAAGGAAAGCCTTTGCAGAGCGAAAAATAGGCCCATTTCATCACTTCCTGTATTTCTGGACATACAGGAAGTGATGAAACGGGCCCATTTTTTGGCCTACAAAGGCTGCAGAAGCTTTCCTCAAGCCTCTGGGAGGCCAAAAATCAGCTGGGAGGTGCAGTGGGGGTAAGGGGGCGGGGAGGATTGTGCAAACATGTGCAAGGGCGTGGGGGGCATACATTGTCTTCTGGGTGCTGGCACTTGAGCGCAAGTGCATAAGTGCGTACACAATTTTTGGTACAGGACCCCAAAAAGGTTAGCCACCACTGCTATAGGCCTATTTCCTAAATGGGAAAGAACATTGCAGACCCAGACTCTGAAAGAAAAAATTACATTATTATCTGAGAACTTTCTCACAAGTGAAAATTTCATCCAGATTTCTTTCTTAAATGCTCAAACTAAGAAAACTTGTTTTATGATTCCTGGAGATCAAGCATAGAAGTTTTATTCAGGCTTGATATTATTTAGTTTCCAAGCTTTGGCATTCTTTTAGAAAATATATTTGTAAGAAAACATATGCTCAAGATCAACAATGATTCGATTGTGACAGTCACAGAGAGAAAAGCTAATATTTACTTAAAGTTACAGAGAAAGCAATTCTAAGCTGTATGCATGTCCTCTGATTGAATCATGAAAGATATAAAGTCGTGAATATCTTGTGAATATTGTGAAGACTGATCAGAATGTATTATTATTATTATTATTATTATTAATAATTATAATATTAGTAGTAGTACCAGTATTATAATTATTTTTCAGCTGCTGAACAGAAAGGCTGAAGATAAGTTTTTAAACTGGTGGGAAATTAAAGGTAAAGTGGAACACAGAGTTTTGTTATTATTTTAATGAGAAGATTAAAAAAATATTTTGACAGATTCTTCCTGGGGAAAAATAGCAGTTTTAAGAAAAGTTTTGGCCTTTCTAGAAATAACTGAGAAAATATGGATGCTGGGTTAAAAAGCTGTATGACAAGAAGGAAATGAGCAAGGATGAAACTCTCCCACTTTCCTGTTTTATTCAAATATTAAGATAAAGTCTTTCTTGAATTGAGCTTGATTCCTAGTGGTTACATAGATGTAGTTACATAGTAGTCCTAGTGGTTACATAGATGTAGTCCATGTAGTTTTCTTCAGCAATGATACAGAAATAGACTGCAATTTGCATTCTGTGGGAAGTTGTTTACTTCCCAGCTCAATTTCTTTCTTAGGAAATTGGGAATATTGGAAATATTGGGATATTGGAAATTGGGAATGGCATTTATTTACTTCCCTGTTCTGATAAATCTGTCAGCAAAGGTAGTCCATGGTGGTACAGTGGTTAGAGTGCAGTACTGCAGGCTACTTCTGCTGACTGCCGGCTGCCTGTAATTTGGCAGTTCAAATCTCACCAGGCTCAAGGTTGACTTAACCTTCCATCCTTCCAAGGTGGGTAAAATGAAGACCCAAAATTGTTGGGGCAATATGCTGACTCTGTAAACTGCTTAGATAGGATTGTAAAGCACTGTAAAGTGGTATATAAGTCTAAGTGCTATTGCTATTGCTAGTGTACCAGCAAACTTCAAAGTAGATCCTGGTCTGTTTACATTTCTTATG